AGAGGGCTTAATTGGCTCAATTTTACAAGTTTATGGACCTAATTGAGACCGAAAAAAAAAACGATAACCCACTTGAGATTGACCAACGAATATGAGGACCAAACGAGAGTTTAAACCTAAAATCTATATAGCCTAATCTTTCAAAATAATCAATAAAGTAGTCACTTATTATTTGAAAGTCTAAACTCTTTTTCATTTGTCTTATAAGGTCTTGCTTCAACTAGATATTCCTATACATGAAAATGATTCAAACTAGGCTTTCCTCTAACAGAAAGCTCATATAGTTTTTAACAATGATCTTCATTGACATTTTATTCAAAATGTAAGATATAGTTTTTAATATCTCTTCCTGAAGTAACTTTTGTAAGATAAAATGACAAATCATGCTCTTTATTATATCCTTAAGAGTATGATTTCATCTTTTAGCCACATCATTCATACTAGGTGACCCGACATGTTATATTGTTGGACAATTTCACATTCCTCTAAGTAATTGGCGAAAGATAAAGATATTATTTACATAAACCATCATATTTGTTATAGTATTCACAACTATAGTCATATTTGAACTCTTAATTCTTTTGTTAATAAGTTTAGTTATAATTAATACAATTTGGTTTTATGTACTAATATAACTAATAAACGAGATTATTTGGATATATATATATATATATATATATATATATATGTATATATATATATATATAAAAGATATATAATTAAAATTTTTAAATTTATAAAGTCTAATACATTTTTAAGAAGACATTGTCTTTAATAGAAGATGGTTAATAATTTTTTTGTCATATATCTTATTTAAATGCATTATAGGTCATTATCTAATTAACTAAAATTATAAAGTAGTATGTCAATATTAAGTTTATGAATTAAAATCATAATTGTTATAAAAAGTTATTTTATAGATTTCATAAGTAAATGATGAGTCAAATTAAAAATATTAAATTCAAAATAACTTGTAAAAGTTACTTTTATGGCTTTCATTTGTCAGACAAATAATATTATGAAAACTATTTTTTTTTTTTGCCTTTATATCCTCTTTTAAGACAAAAAAAACATTCTAAAGCTCTTTAATTAGATATGTGTTTTCAATCTCATCACTGTCATAGTTCACAATAACAAATTTAAGTACATTTTTTCCATTCTATTTTTATTATGAATTCAGATATAAAATATAGGATTGTATTTTAATTTTGGATATACTTAAAATATATGATTGTATTTTAATTATGGATATATGGATAGAAACAAGATTACTCATAATTATTATTTATTAAAAAAAAATTCAAACAATGCTCTAATAGCAATTGTTGGATTCCCATTAAGTGTATGCAGCAAAAACCAGAAATAAGTGGCATGGTTAAAACCTGTTGATGACAACAACCCATTAATATGATATTTTTCTTTGTAACAATTTGAATCATCTATAGTAAATAGAGCTGATATCATAGCAAAACATTTATATACAATTATCTTAACTAGTTTTACATCAAATTATGCCATAGCTTTGTATCAAATTACATTCATTATTATTTTTTGTATATACTTCCCTGTCTTGTTAAGATGTGCAGAATCCAAGCAAAGAATGGTAAACTAATAGATTTTGGACATCAATTATGCAACTTCTATGTCAAACATCGTTTCACAACACGAACACCATGACAAAAATCTACTTCAATTTACGATTAAAAATGATCGTTTGTTTCTTTCATATTTGAAGACAAAGAAGTAAAAGAACAAATGAAACCGAACGATATTTATTTATTTATTCTAAGGAAACTATTTCTTACCAGAAAACAATTTTACTTTCTGTACTCCACAATTTCGTTGTGCAGCCCAAACTTATTTATTTATCAATCAAATCGGTTACTTTCAACATATTTCAACATATTGATAATTTTATATAATGTTTTTTTTTATATATGGAATTGAGTGAAATATATTTTTAATTTCTAAACTTTAACATACAATTAAAATTTATTACTTTTTGAAACTTTAATCTAATTTAATTATTAAATTTTAAAAAATAAATAAATAAAATTCTTCTAATAATTTTTTTTATAAGTAAAATGGTATTTCATATTAATGTAAAAATAAAATAATATATCTATTCATAGCTAAAAGTTATAAGATAAAAATGTAGAGGGATCCAATTTGACATATAATAAAGTTTTTCCTATATTTCTGATCCATCCCACAAGAAGACCTTGGATGAGCAGAAAGAAAGATGTACATAAAGTTGTCCCTTCTCTGTGGCTTGTCTTCTACCCACATGCTCATTCATGTCACTACTTCATCATGACTGAACAACACAGCCTTAGACATCAGAACAATCAATTACAGTTAGAAAGTGTTATCAATTGCGACAGATCAGAAACCCATCAAGTACTCTCTTTTGTCTTTTCTTCTGCTCTATATCAGACTATTACAATTTATAACTACTCTCAGTAAACACTTACTTCACCATTCTGTTGCTATAGAAATTATGCGTTGATGAATAAATTAACCGTTTACTGTAGTCTCTGCAAGTAATTTGCTTTAATGATTGAAAGGAGATGATATTAGCATAGTAAAAGGGAAAGAACACGCTTTTGCGATAATCATTCAAAAAATGTGTCTAAGAGCTTATCAATCTTGCTCTTGCTGAATTTTCTGAGTTTGGGCGTGTAGTTTAAATCTCTCGGCCAAAACTAGACATCTCCAGAAGAAAACCAAACAATTTCAAGAAAACAAAAAATGAGTAAACTTTGAGAAGAGTTTATATTTCATTGTGAAACATCCATTTTCAAGAGAAGAAAAAATGTGTAAACTTTGAGAAGAGTTCATATTTCATTGTGAAGCATCCAATACAGTTACATGGTCAGGTGACAGAAAAACCTTACTCAGCAATCTCTTCAGAGAGAAACCCAACAAAGAAGAAGAATTTTCTGGAACAGAACCACTCATCACACCGATTTCACTCTGACTAATCTCATAACCAGGAGTAACAACCACAATCTCAAAGACGTCATCAGAACCCGGTTGAGAATCATCGCTTCCCAGAATAGGAGCTCTGCAAATGGGACAATTGGAATGTGAAGTAAACCACATGTCAATGCACTCCACATGAAAAGCGTGGCCACACTTTGGCAATCTCCTTCCAATCTCACCCTCCTCAATAACGCTCAAACAGATCACACATTCCAATTCCTCTGTTTTCTCTGTTTTGTGCACAAACATGGGAATTGCTGAAACTGTCGCTGAATCCAGGCCCTTCGGGCAGGTGGGTGAAGCTTCTATGTTGATACTGTGGAAATGGGAAGGTTCCAGAACGTCGGAGACAGTCACCGGAGTTCGCCACCGGCGAGTGTGAGAACGTAATTGCGACTGAGATAAGAACCACTTGGCATACACGTGGAGTAGGAGGACAAAGAAGATGACTAGGAGCAAGGAAAGAACGGCTGCGAGCATGATGCTGCTGTTGTTGTCGGAGAAGACGTTCTGAGCGAGTTGACTCAGTGAGTTACTGGGTGAGTCGGATTGAGTCGGCATTGTAGGGGAGTGAAGAATGTGAGTGTAGTTTTCTTGAATGGGGAAAAGGGTAGGTTATATTTGTGGAAAAGGTCAGGGCTTTGAGCTTAAAACAAGATTTTGGGTGGAGGGGACCCAACAAAACTCAGTCAAGAGCCAGTTTGTGCAATGCTGAATAAAATCTTGGTTTCTTGTATTCAGTGTAGTTTCTTTGCAATTAGCTGTGAAAATGTTTACGTAAAAACAAATGTTATGTGGGGAGTTGCAGATGAAGTCAAAGGAGAGTCCCTATATCTAAGGGATTAATGAGGAATGCATGGGAATGGGGGTGGAGGGATGAAGAGAAAAATAGGGCACAAATGAAGCACTCGTGAAGGCAACGGCAATGGAGGGTAGGTGGGTTTTATTGGATTCATGTGGCAGGTTTTTGTTTATTTATTTGTGGTTTTAATTGATTAAATTGGTGCAATAATAAAGGATCCTAACTCCTAAGGCAAAGGCCTTATGACTCATGGACATGACCAAGAAATAAAATAAGATATTCTTAGTTCTTGTAAACTGCATCAAGCTTAAGTCAATCATGAAAAGGAGGCAACCCCCTCCACAATTTCTTCACTTTCACATTACTCATTGTCTTTATAGGGGCTTTCATGCATTTATTACAACTTTGACAATATTAGAAAGGGCGCTGTGTTGTTTGGGTTTGGTAGGGCATGCCGCGGGACCCCAACTACTGTTATAAAGAGATCAACCAGAGTTCAGGGGTCCCATGTGAATGGAACCATACACTCTATAGCTGTTTTCTTTTTTTTCTTTTTTTCTTTTTTCCTTTTTTTTTCTTTTTTTCTTTGACCACCCTACCACAGCTAGCAGTCAACTGTTGATAGCAGCAGAAGATCTTTGCTTAGATTGCACCATATTTTGTTGCATGTTTCCAGCAATGGATAGATCCCTTTTCAGTTTTTAGAGAGGTTACAGTATTAGGCTTGCAAAAGGTCCTCCTGTCATACTGCATTGCCAATAATTCACAGGTTTTTTGGGGTTGGAAATCATTACACATGCTCTATTTTCTTTTTCCTAGTTCAATCTTTTTGTTTTCATTATTAATCACTTTTCGATAAGTTATGTTTTGAGAAGTACAATTAATAGGAATAGCTAAATTTACATAAAATATAACTCATAGCTAACTTTATTTGTGGCATTTTTCAGTTGGCCTGCGAATTTTAGACCCCGAGTATCTCATGTCACATTAACTCTTTTTTCCATATTTTCTGCTAAAGATTTTTGTCCAAACCTGTTTCTTTAGTTTATTGTCAATGCTCCAGCTTCTTGTATTCTAGAACCCCATTGTAATAATCTTAGAATTTCAATTTCAACCTTGTAAGGGATATGCAGAATGTAACCTAACAACAGGATTTGGTTGATTGGAAAATGGAAACTATGAGAAATTATTGTTTTTGTTTTGATGTTCAGAATTCTCCAAACTAGAACTAAAGGATGCTCATATAAATTATTAAAAGGGGTTTTTCGTTCAGGATTTTACAATATACATGACAATAGTTATTTTTTCTCATATAAAACCAAAAATGGTCACTTAAATCTATTCCATCCCCCAAGATTCTTCTCTCCTCCAGCTATTCTTTCAGTCCATTAGTTTGTATCTTTTCTCTTCCACACCTGTAACTCCCAAGTTTATCTCTATTATTGTATGGAGGGGCACCTGCAAATCAGCAATCTCAGATACATTCATTATTCACACAAACGTTTCACAAAATGAGATGGTGAAACGCACGAATTCTTTTCTTCTAACACAAAATTACTACATGCATTTCTTAAATATTAGTCATAAACTAGATGGAGCTTTTGCACAACTCCATCTTTCACTTTGAGCTAAATATGAATATATTACCTCAATATCTGGAATTTCTTGCAAAGGCCTGTCAGTAAAATAAGCATATAATGCCCTCAGAACTGCCTGCAGTAAGAAACTCAAGAATTAAAACCAATCAACCATAGAGCATAAAAATGGGCAAGTTTACATCAAAGTTAGGTGAAAAACCTGGTGAGATATCACAACAACAGGTGCCCGTTGCCGCTCAAGCTCAATAATTACAGGTTCTAACCTGCATTATCATAAATATAAGCTATTTACACAAAACAGTACTAGTTTGGAACCAAATAATGATTACAAGAAGTGATGCATCAACCTTTGAATAACATCCAAGTAAGACTCTCCACGAGGATAACGATACCTAAGCTTGTCCTTATAGCGTGATCTGTAGCAGAAAAAAGAACAATAGTTACACGAAACATTTTTAAATAGCATCACTATCCCACCAAGCACCGGATTTTTCAACTGGAAATTAGAAAGATCATAGTTTGGAACATACTCGTACTCCGCTGGCATGTTCTTCTTGATCTCTTCGTATGTCATGCCATCACACACACCAGCATTTATCTCATCAAGTGCACGCCATTGTATCTACCATATATAGATACTACTAGAAAGTGAGCATTAATAACACACACTTCTGTCAATCCATATTTTCTGACTTAAGGATGACACTAACCTTGGGAAATCCAACAATTGGTCCTGCTGTCAAAATTGTTCGCTGCAGTGTACTAGTCCATATCTGGACACCAGTCACAAACATCACAAACCGTTTATCATTTCAATATTTGCACGTATATTTATTACAAGCTTACACAAGCAGCTCGTTCTGATTTGAGACGCTTTTCAACAAATTTAGCAAGCTTCTTCTTATAAAGTTCTCCAGCCTCACTGTTGAAACAAATTGTATTGTGTTCCAGTTAGGCAAAAGATATTCATAGCAATTCTTGTTCCAAAAAACCAGAGATGACCTTTATAAAAAAATAAGGAAAATACGAAATAATTAAAATATAGGGGAACTAAAATCATCTATCTTTGCATGACAGCAGTTAGAATAAATTTTTCAATTGTCTTGAATCAAAAAGCTGCTTGGATTTTTCTTTCAGTTAAGTGAGTAAAGTGAGACGTACCCATTAGTCCCAAAAAGATATGCCATAGCAAGACAAAAAGAAGCCAAGATACAGGGCCCTTTAATTGAAGCTTTTAAAAAATAATTGTGTAAAATAACTTTTTCTAGAGCTTTTTTCAGAAGCAAATAGCTTTAGACAACAGCATTAAGTTTTCAAAGTTTTTCATTCCGGAAAAGCTTAAATAATTATTATCACATTTTTTCTAAATATTTTTAATTAAAAACATATTTTGTTAGTACTAATACACAAGGCCAAACTGCTTCATTTTTTGCTACTATTCTTTCCAATTGGTCATCTATCTTGTCAGAACATCTTTTCAGCTTCATTCCCTTCCGATAAAAAACATCTCCAATCATTTTAAGTCTATTTTTTGAAGTACTGTCAACTCCACTGTCTTGACATCTCTTATAAACCATAACATAGTTGTTTCTCTCCTACTTATATTTTCCATTACAACCATTGTGCCAACAATCAATGACACCAGGCCTCCCGCTTAGATAAATGTCATGGTGCGACTTCCACACTACTAAAAAGAAGTTACAAAGAACAATCGGTTTCATCTTTAACCCAACCTGACCCACCAGTGGCAAATAAGCTATAATGTATCCTAGTTTTTTGGCTTCTTAGAAAGTCATCAAATGGAAGGAATAGATCAATAATAATTTCTACAATAGAGAGTAGAAAAAAAATATTAGTAAAAGGAACCATAAAGGTTCCTTACATAACTTTGGGTATCTAATGCAATATAGAAAAGAGGGTATTGACAAATAAGACTTTGAATAATTGCGATGTGAAATAAAAAAAAATAAAATTGAACTTATAATCATCTTTAAACTAATATTCTAGATCATGTACAAGTGTAGTACATCTACTACAACAAGAAATCAAAATAAGATTTATCACAATAAGACTGGTAACAGAAAAATAATTTAGATTCTTTGTATTCTAACAGTTCCTCGTGTAAACAGAACAGAAATGCAAATATTTTCATTCGTACACTACCTTTTTCTAAGCTTGTGTCCTCATTAATATAAACATTACACTAATTAGAGATAGAACACAAATATACCTTAATGCAGAGTCTCCTCCAATTCTGCCTCTCACATTAAACCGACTTTCTCCATGCCGGGTAAGTAATATTGGGCGAGGTGTAAGATGTGTATTTACCTGCATGATAAAAACAAATCATTAATAGAAGCTAACAAGTGATTTGCAGAAGCATTTGCTGAAGGCATATATTATTAATGTTCAAGAAAAAACCATTTGCAAAAGGTGATCTATGACATTTCTCAATAGTGTCTTACTGGGTTAAATATTATTAACTGATCATTTCTTTTACTTTTCAGTGTGTTAATGAAGCTTTGACTGTTAATAACTACATTCTTCTAAGAAACTTACCAAGAAAAAGACTATCCGACCAGGTAGGTAGCCACTGATATTGTTCACCTAAACCAGAAGATAGAATTTGTTGATCATTAACAAATTAAAGTGACACTGTAAACCATGTTTGTAAATGGTTATCGTAAAATTCAACGAGATGCACAAATACTTGCAACAAGAAATTCTAGAATATTAGAGCAGCCTCCCAATGGTTTTTTTTTCAAACAGCGAAAGTATTTTACTATATGTCATTAAACATCAGATAATTTAGAAAAGCATAAAGTGAACTCAAGGACAAAGTAGTTATAATCTATTTAAATCTGAAGGTGAAAGTGAAACCATGCCTTTTTCCACACCAAGGTTTTACATCTAGTTAAACTAGTAGAATCTATTTGTTACTAACCCAAACAAAAAGCTACTATATGGATAATAAACATGCATTATGCATATCGATTATCAAACTAGCAATACTAGCAATACTAGCAAACTAGACAACGACATATGTAAAATGGTTCAGTTTTGCTTCATACAATGACATAACTAAATGTAAAACTTACTTGTATTTGCCCTCCATGTCCACTGGCCATGTCAATCATTTTTATGTGAGATCCTTCTTCTACTGTCTCATAAACCTAGTGCATAAAATCAACATTACTTGAAGCAAAAGCTCACCTCGAATAGCCATTAAAATTTAAAGTACCCGTGAAAGACTTGCCTTCTCATAATAGGCTACACGTTCTTTGAAGTCCCGCAACCCAGCCTCAAAATCTGGTCTGCAAAAGGAAAGCTGATTGCGTATGTAACTACAATTCCAAATACTCATTAAGATAAGATGTCACTAATTTTATATGAAACATTACACTTCGGCATAGTCAGGGCTTTGCTGAATTTTAAAGCGTATATTCCTCTCAATTATGTCTACATCATTGCATATTGTTTCCAAAAAAATGATCTGTAACAAAAAATGCAAGGATACATAAGAACAGTTCAAAACTAAATTATTTTCATATTGCACATATGGCAGTACCCATCTACCTTGCATCTACCTTCAGCCAGTTTCATGAGCATGTTTCTTCGCTGCTTGCTACTGTTTGTGGCATCAAATATCCCAACCTAAACCCCAATGAAAGCTTCAGCCAAAAACAAAAATCTTGAAAGAAGGCTTAAAGTAACAAAATCATCTGAAAAGGACAAATTTACCTGGCCCCCTTCTTGCATCCAAGATATCATATCTTCAAATGCCATCTTGGCTACCTAGTGGTAAATGAAATGTTAAAACTATGTACATAGAGAAAGGATGACAAGGAGATAACAATACCAGAATCATCTATGACAAATTGCTAGGTTCTGCATACATATCTCAACATTAGCTATAATAAATACATATTGTATTTAAACAAGGAGTACATGGTGTAGTTGAGGCAAATTTAAAGCATTTACATCTCTCTCTCTCTATTAGAATCAAATATATCAAATACAATTAGATATAATATATTTAATATATGATCAATTATTTTGTTTTCTAGATATAATAGATATTATATATTATTTTTTTAGTAGATTGCTATTATATATAGTCCTCTCTTATATGTAAACATCATCTTGATTCAATGAATTATTTTATTTCTGTCCCCCTTGATATAGCAGTATCAGAAGTGATTTTTCTGTATTCATTCCAATAATTTTTTTGGTTTTATTCCATGGATGTCATCGATGAGAACTCTAATGTCTCCTAGTGGTGTGATTATGTGAAAGGTTATAACAGAATTCAGATTGGAATAATCAGAGAAAAAACAGAATATCAGAGAAGAATTATGCAGATTTTTCTATTCCCCTTTTCTCAAACAAAAGCAGTGCCTTTATAGCACCATACAGTCAACATGTAATGTAAAAAGAATAAAGTTTGTTAGACATGTTTTCTCCTGCCTAACCAATTCCCACAGATACTGCCACGTAATCATTTGGTTACATAATCCTTGAGGTAAATGGGTTCTTTCTAATTCGTTGGGGTTTTGCATCATTTTCTGCTTTCTCTAGATTTGGCTGTTCAACCATATTGGGCCTGTTAGGAGAAATGGTGGGCCTAACATCTCCTCCCTCTTCGAGATTCACCTTGTCCTCAAGGTGAAATTGGGCTTGAATATGTGCCCATGGTTCCCAGGTGGCCTCTTCCAAAGGAAGGCCTTGCCATTGAATTAAAACCAATTGTTGTGGAGCAGCTGTGTAAGTGGACAACTTCCAATCTAAAATGGCAGTAGGAGTGAGTATTGGTTGATTGTCTTCAATGTCCAGTGGAAGACTTAGTGGTTGAGGGGAAGGAAGAGGACCCTGGTGAGGCTTAAGAAGGCTTACATGGAACACATTATGTATCCTGGCAGTAGAAGGAAGGTCTAATTTGTAGGCCACGTCACCTATTTTTTCAAGAACCTGATAGGGACCGAAGAACCTTTTTTGTAATTTGCCAAGGTACTGACCAGTGAGGGAGTGTTGGCGACGTGGACGAAGTCTCACATAAACCCAGTCACCAATGTTGAAGTGAACATCACGCCGGTGGGAGTCTGCCCAATGTTTCATGGCTTGCTGAGCTTTTAGAAGATTGGACTGCAATTTGCGAATAATTTCTTCGCGGGAGTTGATTTCAAATTGGGCTGCAGCATTGGTAGTATCCTTAACCAAAGTCTGAGGGATGTTTGGTGGAGAGCGACCAAACATAACTTCGAAGGGAGTGAAACCAGTAGAGGAATTAACGGTGGTGTTGAAACACCACTCTGCCCAAGGAAGAAATTTGCCCCATAGAGATGGTCTGTGATGGACAAAACATCGCAAATACTGTTGGAGAATCTTATTTGCGACTTCGTTTTGTCCGTCTGTTTGAGGATGGTAAGCTGTAGACATGCGCAGTTTGGTGCCACTCAAACGAAAGAGTTCCCTCCAAAAGTGACTAAGAAATATAGGATCACGGTCTGAAATTAAGCTCCGAGGAAGACCATGTAATTTGCACACCATATTAGTAAAGAGATCAGCAACCTTAGTGGCGGTGAATGAGCGGGGCAACATACCAAAATGTGCACCTTTAGAAAATCGATCCACCACAACCAAGATAGTAGAGTGGCCCTGATATGGAGGCAGTCCAATTATGAAATCTAGAGAAAGATCTTCCCAGCAATGTGACGGAGGAGGGATAGGTTGCAGCAAGCCCGAGGAACGTTGGGTGGGAATCTTTGTTTGTTGACAAGTGGTGCAATGAGCGACGAAAGAGATGACGTCTTTCCGCATAAATTCCCAATAAAAATTAGCCTGTATTTTGGCTAGTGTACGAGTAGCTCCTGGATGACCAGCCAAAGGGGTCGAGTGAAACTCTTGGAGGATCAAGGGAATAATGGAACAAGACTTGGGAAGCCAAATTTTCCCTTTATAAAGTATCAGATCCTGTTGAATGGAAAAGTCAGGGAACATGGAGGGGTCCTTCAAAATATTACTCTTAAGATCCAAGAAAGTAGTATCAGATGCGAGAGTGTATTTAAGATCTTGGAGAAAGTCCATGTGAGACACATAAATGAGGAAAAATGAGTCTGCATTAGGTGAAACACGGGAAAGTGCATCAGCAACAGTGTTTGTTTTTCCTGGTTTATAATGTATCTCAAAGTCGAATCCCAATAATTTGGCTACATAGGATTGTTGGTCAGGAGTTAGGACAGTTTGAGATAGCAATTCCTTGATGGCTTGTTGATCAGTGTATATGATGAAGTGGCGACCGAGCAAGTATTGGCGCCATTTCTGAATGGCAGATGTGATAGCACAGAGTTCCCTGATGTACGTTGATGAATGTCGCAATTTAGGGCAAAATTGCTTACTGAAAAAAGCAATTGGGTGTCCTTCTTGTGATAAAACGGCCCCCATACCAAAACCGGAGGCATCTGTTTGAACAGTGAAAGCTAAATCAAACCGTGGCAGAGCCAATACTGGGGCAGTAGTAACAGCGGTTTTAAGGTTCTCAAAAGCCGTAGTAGCTGAAGCAGACCATATGAAGTTATCCTTTTTAAGTAAATCAGTTAAAGCAGAAGCAATAGAGGCGTACCCCTTTACAAATCGGCGGTAAAACCCTGTGAGTCCAAGAAAACCACGCAGGGACTTCAGAGTGGTTGGCAACGGCCAATCAACGATATCTTGGATCTTTGACGGATCTGGTGTGACACCCTGTGACGAGACTACATGACCCAAATATTGAATCGATTGCTGCCCTATGAAACACTTGGAACCCTTGAGACAAAAACTGTTTGCATGGAGCAATTTGAAAGCGGTTTCCAAGTGAGAGATGTGGTCCTCCAAGGTGGTGCTGTAGACAAAGATATCATCAAAAAAGACGATAATAAAACGACGTAAATGAGGGCGGAACAAGTCATTCATGGTAGCTTGAAAGGTGGATGGTGCATTGCACAATCCGAAAGGCATGACTTTGAACTCGAAGTGGCCGCTATGGGTGCGGAATGCCGTTTTAGAGGAATCAGTAGGCAACATCAGGATTTGGTGAAAACTCGAGAAAAGATCTAGTTTCGAGAACCATGTAGCATTACCAAGTTCATCCAAAAGCTCATCGACTGTAGGAATCGGAAATTTGTCTTTAACGGTGACAGCGTTGAGTGCGCGATAATCGACGCAAAATCGCCATGTACCGTCTTTCTTCTTGACAAGAAGAACAGGGGAAGAATAAGGGCTTGTGCTTGGCGTAATGAACCCCGAGTCCAGCATCTTTTGAACCTGGACCTCAATTTCTTGCTTCTGAAAATGGGGGTATCGGTAAGGGCGCACTGAAATGGGAGCAGTGTTGGGTAAAAGGTTGATGGAATGGTCGGTGTAACGAGATGGGGGAAGGGTGGTTGGCGGGGAAAATAAAACAGAGTAGGTGGTGATTAAGTTTTTTAGTTGGGGAGTAGAAGATGAAGGGATAGCAGTATTAGAAGGCAAAGGAGGTATATGTGAAGTAGGAGAATGGATGGATGGAGAAGGTTCCAGTTTAAGTTGAAAAAGTGCTTCTACTCTGTTGGTGTGTTGTAGGCATTTAAGTTGGTGGGCTGTTATAGGTGTAGGGTTTGGACCTTGTTCTCCCTTGAGTTCTATCATCTTACCCTCCCACATAAATCTCATGAAGGGCCCGTTATAATCCATAATGAATGGGCTAACTTGAGTAAGCCATTGAACCCCTAATACTACATCAGTGCCAGAGAGATCCAAGGGGTAGAGATCAATAGGGAATTCGAGAGAGGCTAATGTAATGTGGGCCTTAGGACAAAAAGTAGTGCAAGGTAAGAATTCCCCATTCCCCACCATGACTCTTAGTGGACTAGAGGTGGGCTCAAGTGCAAGGTTAAGAAAATGAGCTACCTTAGTTTGGATGAAATTGTGAGTTGCACCACTATCAACCATGATCTGTACTTCATAACCATTAATAGAGCCCGTGATCCGAAAGGTTCTAGGAGTCCAATGACCCGAGAAAGATTGGAGGCTGATCAATCCTGCTTCCAAAGTTGGGTTATCCGGTGGGTCACAATCTAATTCCGCGGTTGTCTCAGAGACATCGTCAGGGTCAGCAACGATGAGCAAGAGGAACTGGGACTTACAACGATGCCCACGTGTATACCTTTCATCACAATTATAGCAAAGGTTCTTCTCACGGCGTGCCTGCATTTCAGCTTCAGTGAGGCGTTTAATGGGTAGTTTAGAGGGAGGTGTGGGGAGTAGTGGTGGAAGTGGTTTCGGGGTGGTGGAAGTGGTGGTTAGTGGTGGCGGTCTAGAGAATTTGGTGAAGGACAGAGGGGATGGGGAAATTTTGGATTTGTCGTCGTGTAATTTGGCGAACGCCACAGCTTGTGGCATGTCGGCGGCGGGTTGAAGGGCGGTGACCTCTCGTCGAAGGTGGGGCTTAAGGCCGGAGATGAAGCAGCTAAGGTAAAAGCTGGATGGATACCCTGAGATGCGGTTGCCGATCGACTCGAACTCAGAGATATAATCGTGAAGGGTCTGAGTTTGAGTAAGGCGGCAAAGTGCAGCGATCGGATCGTCAAACTTGGATGGTGCAAATCTCAGTTCTAAGGCACGGAGGAAAGCATCCCAAGAGGTAAGGAGACCATTATTGTGCATCCATTGGTACCAAGCAAGTGCAGGTCCCTCCAGGTAGAAGGAGGCAATCTGGGTTCTCTGCTCCGGTGGTGTTATGTGAAAATCAAAAAACTGGGTGATCTTGAAGATCCAACCCAATGCATCATTACCGTTGAAAGAAGGAAGGTCGAACTTAAGAGGACGAGCAGAGGTGTGTTGCTGATGGGGAGGTGATATAGGGATTTTGCATTCCAAAAGAGAGGTGCGAGCAGCTATGTCATGTAACGTGTTTGAGAAATTGGCCTGGGAGAGAAGAATTTGCTCCAGCTTTTTGTCAAGGGAAGAAAAAATGTCAGAAGAGTCTGCCATGGGAGGAAGAGGCTCAATGAAAGCACCAATGAAAGGTTATAACAGAATTCAGATTGGAATAATCAGAGAAAAAACAGAATATCAGAGAAGAATTATGCAGATTTTTCTATTCCCCTTTTCTCAAACAAAAGCAGTGCCTTTATAGCACCATACAGTCAACATGTAATGTAAAAAGAATAAAGTTTGTTAGACATGTTTTCTCCTGCCTAACCAATTCCCACAGATACTGCCACGTAATCATTTGGTTACATAATCCTTGAGGTAAATGGGTTCCTTTCTAATTCGTTGGGGTTTTGCATCATTTTCTGCTTTCTCTAGATTTGGCTGTTCAACCATATTGGGCCTGTGAGGAGAAATGGTGGGCCTAACATTATGTCTACTCTAAATGTCAGTCCTTTTACCAATGGTTTAGTTTTTTATAATATTTCTACCAATCCTTTTATTAAAGGTAGATGGATCATGATTCAAGTGTTAGTACTCATGCATGTTCATTCTTGGTAATGTTTTCAATCCTACAAACATGTCATGATATCACTGATAAAACCCTTTCATTACCCAATTAATCTATTATTCATGTAGTAACTATTGGCATTGTTCAACTTTCTCATATATTGGTGCTTTATTATGTTTTTTACGTGTCTCTCAATTCAATTTTAATTTTCTCTCTTTTATCCTTTGTTCACTTGAATGGATTTGAGGGAGAGTGATTGAGTGGATTTGAAAAGATTTGAAGATAATTTTTTTTTTTGTTTATTTGAGTGAATTTGGAGGTAAGTGAAAGTGAATTTGGAAGCAACATTTGTAAGAATTAGTGTAGGATTTGATTGATGTGACAGATTAAAAAAATTTACTTCCAAATCCACCCTCACCTGCCTCCAAATCTACTCAAATAAACAAAAAGAAAAATTATTTTCAAATCCTCTCAAATCCGTTCAATTACTCTCTCCCAAATCTATTCAAGTGAACAGAGCCTTAGTGCTTTGTTGGCTCATACTCATTTGTCCACCTTCCTTAAAAATCACTTTTTTATCTAGGAGATGCTTCACTCCAGGAAGATGAAGATTGTCGGTGGTAATCTTAACTAAAGGAATATACATGTTGTCTCCAATTTTTACATAAAATGATTTAACTATGTTTCCTTTCCTTTAATACCATCACAAATACTGTATTTCTTTTTAAAATACCGATTCCGGTAAGAATGCGTCTATTTGGCATAAATTTGGACGTCTCTAATAAAGTTTTTCTACTTTTGAGTAATGAAATTCTTTTTCATATAACATAATGTTTCTACTCCCAAGTTTTAAATTTGACCTCTTGCTAAGTTTAGAAGATTATCTTTCACTTTACTCAACAAGGTGTTCAACCATTATTTAATATATTACATTGTAACATTTGGGGTCTTATGGTAAACTTATGATGGCAAACATTTTTTCATAAACTTGATTGATGATTATAGTCATTTTACCTAGATATTTTTGCTCACACACAAATCTAAAACTCTACTAATGTTATAAAACATTTTTTTTAAATGGTTAAACCTCAGTTTAGGGCCAAAGTGTTTCAGGTATGACAATGCAAAAGAACTTGCCCTTACTAATTTTCTAGCAAAACAAGGCACTCTACATCAATTTTTTGTGTGGAGAGATCTTAACAAAACTCGATAGTTGAGAGAAAACATCAACATTGTTTTATTTTTTCAATCCAACTTGTCAATCCAATTTTGGGAAGAGTGTGTTTGCACTATTTCCTTTCTAATTAAGAGGGTTCTCTCTCCAGTACTATGACAAAAATCATCTAACTAGGCTCAAACAGATCCAAACTTGATTATCACTCTTTAAATAATTTTGTATGTTTAGCTTATTCAATAACTTTGTGCTCGTCCAAAAACAAATTTACTCTTCACATAATTTCATCCATTTTTGTTGATTATCCTAGAGACAATAAAGGATATAAATTAAACAATATAGAGGCTGAGCAATCTGCTCTTTCATTAAACAATTTTTCCTTTTCACGGAAGTGAATCCTTTTAGCAATTCTTACTCCTTTATTGATGATATGGTAATTCCTTTGTCCATTGCTAATAATATCCCTTAAATACTTCTATTGTTCATTAACCTAATAAGCCACACGGTACAATATAAAACATCAATGTGTAGTACTAATGGACTTGAAGCCTTTGTTTGGAGATCATTCAGAGCGTTAAGAAACCCTCTTATTTGTCTGATTATGTGTGCTCTAGCACCTCACATCCTTATCCATTCAAAACTTTAACTCTTTAGACAAACTAAATCCAAAATGCAAAACCTTTATCAATCAAATTTCACTAGTGGCCAAACTAACTTTTGTAAAGGTCTTACTAGCTCATGTTGCTGCAAAAAATTGGAACCTACTGTAGCTAGATATCAACAATGCATTCTTAAATGGTATGCTATATGAGGAAGCATACATGAATATTGCTCAGGGTTGCAAAACAACAACAAAAGAATTAGTTTCAAGTTAAATAAATCCATAAATGGAATTAGACAAACCTCTAGACAATGGTTCTACAAACTATCCCAAACATTATTGCAACATGGCTTTACACGGCCTAAAAATGATTACTCTATTTGTTCATGATTACTAGGGTCTTCTTGAAAGATTATAAAATTCAAAAAATAACTAGTTCTTGAAAATATTCATTTTCTCACACATACTAGATGAATAGTCACAAAATAATCTATAACAATCAATATTCCTTTGTATGACTCCGTGCATGCATTTTCCACCCTTATAAAAATAACTACCTTTATTGATTTTACGTGTCGTACACATCTTTTTACTATTGTTATGATGCGTAAGAAACTATTCATGTTGTACTCTTGATGAAAAATTACAAGTGCTTCTATTAAATAATTATAACTATAAAAATTAATAAAAATGATTTAATTTTATGATTTTTTTATGCACACTTTTTTGGTAACTTCAATATAAATTTTAGTAATTATTTTTTCATTTTAATAATTAAATTTTTAATTACATTTTTTATTACCATAAAAAAGAAGTGGACACGTAGACCTGTTTTTCCACTAGTACGAATAAAGTGAAATATTTGTGACCAAACAAAAAAATGATAAAATGTAAAAAGTCAATATAAATTAGTAGAATGAAATAAGATTGTGTAAAATCTGGAAGTAACATCTCCAACTAAGAGTCTGCTAGGTAAACATAATTAAACACTTGCTGAAGAGGTATTTATGGAAGTACTTATAAGTTGTTGTCAATGTCCTTTATGCAGTCACAATTTTCTTTTATTAGAAATTCCCTGGACATAAGTCACATTTAATTAGACGTTACAGTTTATTGAAGATATGCTGTAAATATCTGTAGCATCTCCTCTGGTGTAAAGCTTCTGTTGGCTATTTAATTAGAAAGGCCTCAAAGTGGGTAAATCAGCTTTTTCCCACATAGTATTCCTTATTCATATTATGGTTGCTGTGATTTTCTGACAGTTGTTTCTATAATTGAAAAGGAAATAGGGTTAAATTGCTTTGATACAAGTTGAAAGTTTTCATTAGCTACTTTAGAACAGTTAAATATTCTGAAAACAACTTGTGGACTTATCATAAGTTATTTTCATAAGTTCTCCAAAACACTTACATGAATGCTTATACCATAAAACAAGTTTAACGGTAAATAAGCTCTTCCAAATGCACCCTAATTATACACATCTACAACCTTATTATAAACAACCAGTATAAATCACTCTTTCACATTCAAATAAAAAAAAATTGTTGGCCAGAAGTTACCTCATTACGTGCTACCACACCTTCAGGATTGTCAGCTCGAAAGAAATCAGCAGACTGCACAGAAAATATGACGCGGATAGTAAATTTTCCAAGAAAATATGCAGTACCATAACATCATACTTCCAAGGATGAAACTAACATAAAACAGAAAATCGAGCACCCCATAGTGATCATGTGATGTTCACAATTTAAAAGATTATGGCACTGCAATGTACGAGAGATTTGACAATTATTTTTTGGTAATCCCCCAATATTATTCTTTGACCAGAATATAGGCCACTGCTAACCCCTTTCCCATCTTTAACTATTACAGTTCAGTGTGCAGTATTTTTAAGTTTAGCACAAGGAAACAGTAACCCTATGGTTTCTTTGCATTTTCCTAATGAGATTTAGTTTGAAGGGGTATATTGGAATTATAGAAAAAAGTCAAAACTTAATAGCATTAGCTTTCAGTCTGAGTGATTTATCAGTGAATCCCACGAACAAATTGAATTATTGAAAAATTTAAAATCAGGTTCCATTTTCTGCTACNGATATCATCAAAAAAGACGATAATAAAACGACGTAAATGAGGGCGGAACAAGTCATTCATGGTAGCTTGAAAGGTGGATGGTGCATTGCACAATCCGAAAGGCATGACTTTGAACTCGAAGTGGCCGCTATGGGTGCGGAATGCCGTTTTAGAGGAATCAGTAGGCAACATCAGGATTTGGTGAAAACTCGAGAAAAGATCTAGTTTCGAGAACCATGTAGCATTACCAAGTTCATCCAAAAGCTCATCGACTGTAGGAATCAGAAATTTGTCTTTAACGGTGACAGCGTTGAGTGCGCGATAATCGACGCAAAATCGCCATGTACCGTCTTTCTTCTTGACAAGAAGAACAGGGGAAGAATAAGGGCTTGTGCTTGGCGTAATGAACCCCGAGTCCAGCATCTTTTGAACCTGGACCTCAATTTCTTGCTTCTGAAAATGGGGGTATCGGTAAGGGCGCACTGAAATGGGAGCAGTGTTGGGTAAAAGGTTGATGGAATGGTCGGTGTAACGAGATGGGGGAAGGGTGGTTGGCGGGGAAAATAAAACAGAGTAGGTGGTGATTAAGTTTTTTAGTTGGGGAGTAGAAGATGAAGGGATAGCAGTATTAGAAGGCAAAGGAGGTATATGTGAAGTAGGAGAATGGATGGATGGAGAAGGTTCCAGTTTAAGTTGAAAAAGTGCTTCTACTCTGTTGGTGTGTTGTAGGCATTTAAGTTGGTGGGCTGTTATAGGTGTAGGGTTTGGACCTTGTTCTCCCTTGAGTTCTATCATCTTACCCTCCCACATAAATCTCATGAAGGGCCCGTTATAATCCATAATGAATGGGCTAACTTGAGTAAGCCATTGAACCCCTAATACTACATCAGTGCCAGAGAGATCCAAGGGGTAAAGATCAATAAGGAATTCGAGAGAGGCTAATGTAATGTGGGCCTTAGGACAAAAAGTAGTGCAAGGTAAGAATTCCCCATTACCCACCATGACTCTTAATGGACTAGAGGTGGGCTCAAGTGCAAGGTTAAGAAAATGAGCTACCTTAGTATGGATGAAATTGTGAGTTGCACCACTATCAACCATGATCTGTACTTCATAACCATTAATAGAGCCCGTGATCCGAAAGGTTCTAGGAGTCCAATGACCCGAGAAAGA